CTGAGGGAGTGCCGCACTGTCGGAGGGTCAGTGCTGAGGGAGTGGGCACTGTCAGAGGGTCAGTGCTGAGGGAGTGGGCACTGTCGGAGGGTCAGTGCTGAGGGAGCACCCCACTGTCGGAGGGTCAGTGCTGAGGGAGTGCTGCACTGTCGGAGGGTCAGTGCTGAGGGAGTGGGCACTGTCGGAGGGTCAGTGCTGAGGGAGTATTTGGGAGAGTTTGTTTTAATCATCATAAATGATTAAGTTCCCTTTAATTTGGTGACGTATTCAGAAGTTTCTTAGACAATCAAGTGCTGAAACATTTGTTTAAATGTTATTGTCTGTAGAAACCAAAATGCAAACCCTTAAGTAATGAAGTTCATCCAACTTGGGCAATCCCTGGTTAATAGTGGAATCTGTGCAGCATTCCCACTGAAGTCTCTGTGTCTGGAAGTGTCCATGGTACAGTTCTGTGCCATCTTGTTCTGTGATTGATCTTTTAAAGGTCCAGTTCCTGGTGTTCCATTCTGATGCAGATTTTTACCCTTTGGTCCATGTCTGACACCATTGGCCATTCCCCTGAAATTCCTGCCAGCAAATAGCTTGCTGCCTTATCAGCTATTGCCTCTTAACCCACATCCCATTTGGCTGTAACTCCTGTTGGAAGCTGTGGTTGTCCTGTGATTAAATCTGTCAATTCTCCTGCTGCCTGGTCCTTAACCTTTTGTGCTTGTAAACCTTCCCGTTTCTCCGGAATCTGCCAAAGCGGTTTGTTTAGTTCGTGTTGTCTGGACTCTGTCTACTTCCCGACATGACTAACTTCAATTCCCATCCTCCTCTTTCACACTTTATTCTAGGCAGCATTATCTCTGTTTCCATCTGTGTCTAACAGCCTTACTTTGCTGATTCATTCTGTCATTAAATTTCTGATGTTTCCAACAGCACGTGCTGTTTTGAGAGTTAGCCTCCAAGAGCTCCCTGCATTTGCATTCAATTCTGGTCTCCCTGCTATAGGAAGGATAGTGTGAAACTTGAAAGGGTTCCAAAAAGGTTTACAAGGATGTTGAATCAGAGATAGTAGGAACTGCAGATGCTGGAGAATCCGAGACAACAAGGTGCAGGGCTGGATGAACACAGCAGGCCAAGCAGCATCA